CCAAATGTGAGAGCGTGGTTGCTAATTGTAGCACTGGAGGCACTGCTCTGACATCAGATTGCGTTAAACATATGTTATTTAGCACATATTCAAAAGCCTCTTTAGTTAGACGAAATCGTTTTAAAAATCTGCAAAGAAAACTTCGTTAATGAGGTTTCATGATTCATTTTTTATATACCTACGCTGTATTCGGCAGTGCCAAAGGGTTGCTCCGATCTCTTAGTTGCCTCCGCACTATTTTTTCATCCCCATCACTCTCGCTAGAGCTCAAATAAAAAAACAATGTCGGATCCATCTTGATATACAACCATTTGATATTTAAACTAACAAATTGATTGAAAATTTTGCAACAGTTTTGACAGTTCCACAGCTATTGCGACCTTAAAATACGATCCAAAGCAATGTGGAATTTAAAAACTATTGTGAATTGAAAAGACATTACGATACGTTTGCTATCGTATGTCATAATGCCAATCATCGCATACGATTGACGTATCACGTAATTTGCTTTCGTATGTTTGCCGATCCGTGCACGGATGTAACGATTCGACCCCTGGTTTCTATCATTCTATCTAGCCTATACATGACACACATATCCATTTTACGTTCGTTCTTCATGTGTTGAATACAATGCTCGTGACAGACTGCAAACGACATCTGTCAAATATTATAATACACACGTTCTTATGGACGGACCTATTTTGACAGCTGCACGACTACACGACTGCAGGCCGACAGTTGTCGTTCTCGCTAACTTCAATTTGATCCTATATTTGCCAACGACAGTAGAGTTGACAGTATAATGGAAGATAGAGTGGTGATGCCACTAATATGTAAAATGTAAAATTACTCAAAGCTCTAACGAACCTAACGTTATTTTACAAATAAAAGCATAAAATAGCTCTGTTACATCATTTGTAATAACAATTGAAAATTTGAAACAAACAAATTTACCTATTTACTAATTTTTTGCATAAAAAATTTCACTTTGAACAAAATATTAAAATTTCATTGAAGTGTACGGTATTAGTATGGATACAACGAAATTGTGAACATGCAAAATGGCCAACTGCGTTGTTTTGTGTACATGCCGGCCTTCGTTATGTTGCTGCCCTCTCACAAACGTTCTTGAAGTAGGATTCACAACGCCATTTTCAGTTCACTGTCGTGCTGCTGCAGTCTGTCGCTAGCATTGTGTTCCACACATCACACAGTTAACATCTGCGGCAGGCAAGTGGAAAATTTTGTTGCACTTCTTGGAATTTATATGTGTATAAAAAAAAAATAAACAATAGAAAAAAAAAAAATGATTTGGGTAGCGGATTAGTTGAGTAAAAGTATTAGTCGCATCGATCGTAAAAAATTAAACATTTTCGCGAACATGGATCGGTACGCGCACAATCCCATACACGAGTAAACCGCATGTGCACACATACCGATCGAACGCACTTGTTTGTCGTGTATGCCACTTTTAGCATACAAATTTATATGCCAAATATCGTATAATAGGTAGTCTACGCAGGCAATACATTTAGTATACCATTGTTTTTGCCTGTGGAGATGCCTCGTAAGAAATATGGGGTCTCTGCCGGCAGTACGTTCCTCGAAACAGTATACTATAAAGATTAAAAGATCTTGCAGGGTTGTGAAGTTTATCGTGTTATTTATCAAAGAAAAAAAACATAAAAATACCAGCGTAGGTATTTTTAATTAAAAGCATCAATAGAAACGTCTAAATTAATGTTTAAGAGTATATTTTTAACATTATAAAATAGTGTAATTATCAATTCCGCCAAATATGACATTTTTTTATTTCAACAAAAAAATCTTGATTTTAACTTCTATAATACTTTTCAACAAAACAGTTTTTTCAGGAGTCACTATTTTGAATAAATACTGATATATTGAACGTGAAGTAACCACTCGAGCAATTAATATGGCAATTATTATATTGTATAATCTGGTAACACAATGATCGTATTAAATTGAAAGCGCGGGAGCTTGGCATATGTTTTTCAGAACGTTGGTGTGATATTGATTCATTTATCATAAAATTTCCATTTATTACCAATAATTATGGCGGATGCTGAACATTATATTAGGGACATACAGCGAGAATATGTAGATTTTTTAGATGATGAAGAGGACCAAGGAATTTATTCGGGACTTATTAAGGACATGATTGCTGAGAAGGGGCGGCGTCTAATCGTTAACATAAGTGATCTAAAACGCAAAAATCCTCAACGAGCCCAGGGGCTTCTATCAAATGCATGCGATGAGCAATTAGCATTTGGAAGAGCTCTCAAGGAATACGTTGCAACTGTAGATCCTACTTATGCAAAACAACATGAGGACTTTTTTGTTGGATTTGAAGGCTGTTTTGGAAATCGGCATGTTACTCCCCGTTCCTTAACTTCAATGTAAGTTTTTCTTATTATTTTAGGCAAAAAAATTGACTAGTTTCATTTTAGCTATTTGGGGAATTTAGTTTGTGTTGAAGGTATTGTCACAAAGGTTTCTTTAATACATCCAAAAGTGGTCCGCAGTATTCACTACTGTCCAGCAACGAAAAAAGTTATGGAAAGAAAATATACAGATTTAACTTCATTTGAAGCAGTTCCCTCGAACGCTGTCTATCCCACAAAAGATGATGAGGGAAATTTGTTAGAAACAGAGTTTGGGCTCTCGGTATATAAAGATCATCAAACTGTTACGATACAAGAAATGCCTGAAAAAGCACCAGCAGGCCAATTACCTCGATCTGTTGATATTATATGTGATGATGATATGGTTGATCGATGCAAACCTGGTGATCGTGTTCAGATAGTGGGAAGTTATCGCTGCCTTCCAGGAAAGTTTGGAGGATATACTTCTGGCACCTTCCGTACTGTCTTGCTAGCAAACAATATTTCACTTTTAAGCAAAGATAGTAACATGCTTATTTGCCGTGAAGACATTATCTTATGCAAAAAATTGGCCAAAAATAACGATATTTTTGATTTGTTGGCTAAGAGTTTGGCTCCTTCTATTCATGGGCATTCTTTCGTTAAGAGAGCAATTTTATGCCTCTTATTAGGAGGAGTAGAAAAGGTTTTRCCGAATGGTACCCGGTTGCGAGGGGACATTAATGTCCTTCTTATTGGAGATCCCAGTGTAGCGAAATCCCAATTATTGAGGTATGTGTTAAATACAGCGCCAAGGGCAATACCAACCACAGGTCGAGGTTCAAGTGGAGTAGGTTTAACGGCTGCTGTTACGACTGATCAAGAAACTGGTGAGCGCAGATTAGAAGCAGGTGCCATGGTTTTAGCCGATAGGGGTGTTGTTTGTATTGACGAATTTGACAAAATGAGTGACATCGATCGTACCGCAATTCACGAAGTCATGGAACAAGGACGTGTTACAATTTCAAAAGCTGGAATACATGCATCTTTAAATGCACGCTGCTCAGTATTAGCGGCTGCAAATCCAGTCTATGGGAGGGTAATAAGGGTAAATAAAAATCTTTGTAACCAATATAAAAAAAAATATTTTTAGTATGATCAATATAAAACTCCAATGGAAAATATTGGCCTTCAAGATTCGCTTCTTTCTCGTTTTGATTTATTATTCGTAATGTTGGACGTAATTGATAGCGATATTGACCAAATGATTTCGGATCATGTTGTGCGCATGCAYCGTTACCGGTAACGTATTTTAGATATTGTTTTGTTTTTGATTAATTTAATTTTATTTATTTCAGTAATCCAAAGGAAACAGATGGTGAACCTCTTTCAATGGGTAGCTCGTATGCAGATTCCTTATCATTCACTGCAAATTCTGATGAGGTAGTACATATTATCGTATATAAGAAAAAATATATTAATTTTTCTACAATTCACAGAAAAAAGAAATAGAAATCTTTGAAAAATATGACCCATTGCTTCATGGTAAGTCGAGAAAGCGACAAGAAAAAATGTTGTCTGTCGATTTTATGCGTAAATATATTCATATTGCAAAATGCATGAAGCCAAAATTAAGCGAACAAGCTTGTGAAGTTATTGCGACGGAGTATTCATCCTTGCGCTCTCAAGAAAATGTGCAATCCGATGTTGCTCGTACTCAACCAGTTACAGCTCGAACATTAGAAACTCTTATACGACTTGCCACAGCACATGCTCGTGCTAGATTGTCAAAAACTGTAACCGCAGATGACGCACAGAGTGCAATAGAATTGGTGCAGTTTGCATATTTTAAGAAAGTCTTAGAAAAAGAAAAAAGTAACAAGCGACGACGTGGGGATGCATCAACTGATGAGGATGAAAACCAGAAATCACCAACCAGGAGAAATAAACGTACACGCACAGAAACATTACAAGCGGAAACTGAAAGTGCTGCATATGATACTGATGAAGAAATTGAAGCACCTCAACCGGACGCAGGTGATTTAACACGGCGTGAAACAAGAAAATCAAATAATGCKGGTCGAAAGGTTACAACAGCTGTTGGTGCGGCCACTCAAGAGCACGAACAAAGTACACCCCATTCAAGTGAAGATATAACTCCATTTATATCAGATACAAGATTGAGCATATTCAAACATAGTTTGCAACGACTGTTCCGGGAAGCTAGGGAACAGAGTTTATCTCTAGAACGAATTTCAAACGCTATCAATGAAAATAATTCTGAACAATTCTTAAGTTCTGAAATTGAAGCTGCCATGCATCAAATGACTGAAGACAATCAAGTAATGGTTGCTGATGGTATCGTTTTCTTAATATAATTTTCTGTAAGAGTATATTCATTCGAACTTTTGTCAAGTTTATATATTTTACTCTAGTTTTCAAAGTGGCTGACTTTCATTTGTAATGTTCAATGTTTTGTAAGCTAATTTACCAATATTTTGTTTTWCCATAATTAATTTGTTGGGTAGATTGTAAAAGATATGGTATGATTGGATAACTATATATAATTTATTTGAACTTATCTTTTTTGTCATTGAAAATAAATCATTTTATCATTAAAATTAAATTTGTACATGTTTTTATTTCAAGTTTCCTTTTCAATGTACTATTACATGTTTCTCCTAAAAAGGCTTCTCTGCGCCTAAATTTGATAAAATCGGGTGGAAACACTCCGTATCCCTTCGCTGACGGGAAGTAAAATATAGTTACTAAACTAAATGACCTATAATAAAACGTTAAAAATACCAAATTTGATTGTAATTCATTCACGATTTCGTTGAATAATGAACTTACTTGTTTTTAAAGACTCCTTGTTTTATAGTGTATTGCTCCATTTTACTGATATTTTTTTAGGGGTTATCAACATTTTACTATATAAATGTCAAATTTAAATTTAGCGTCAATTTTGGGACACCCTTTACAATAAGAGCTCGTAAAAAAACTCCATGAGTATAATATTACAATTACTTATTTTAGTTTAGTTTGTCTGTTTAGCTTTCCGCTATATTAGCATACATATTCATTTGATTTCTTTTTTTGTTTTGCGGGTGAGTGGGTGGAAAATTCCTTCCGCATCGCCGGTGCTATCGTCACAGCAGCAGTATGTGCCACTTGCAGGTCAGTAAAAACCCCCCTCTAGGGAACCGTCGCCCACCCTTGGACCGCTTTTGCATTACTTCAGGGTGGCGTTCCATTTTTCTCATTGTGAGATTTACATCTGCGCACCTGCGTCCTGGTCCCGCTTTTTGCTGCATAGCAAGAGTGCAGCGAATTTCTTGATAAACCCCTAGTTTTCTTCACTTTCAAATGACGCTGACTTTAGTCATTTATTGGGTCAACCAGGTGCTCTACGGCGGTGCGTTCGACTTGCAGCGCGCACATTCCAAGAATGTGTGTTTAGCGTCATCTTCTGTATCGTCGTTGTGTAGGCATGACAGTTCTTCGACTTTACCCATTCTGTGAAGGTATGTTTTGAAGTACCCGTGACCGGATAACAGCTGGGTTGTGTAAAAATCTATCTCTCTGAATTTTCGGCATGTCAATGAGTCTAGATCTTTTATAAGCCTGGCCGCCGATTTGCCGCGGCTTTCGGTGTCCCATCTTTGTTGCCTTGTTATTATTGTTTCTTTCTTTATTTGCTCTATTGCGCTCTTGTTGTTATCGGATAACTGCTTTAGCTCCCACAGCTTTTTCCTTTCGTATGCTAGAAGGTGAATTGGGCCATTTCCGCTTATAACTAATATTGCCTCGCCGGACACTGTTCGGTAGGCTGATGCAACTCTGAGGGCTRCAGTGCGGTGCACTCTGGCCGCTACCTTACGCCGGTTTTCCTTTTTAAGCACATCTGCCTATATCACAGCTCAATATAATAACACGCTGATTGTTGTTGACATTAGGAGCTTTCTTTTTCTTGGCTGGGACCTCCTATGTTGGCCATTAGTCGGCTCAGTTGAGAGGTGATCTTCGCTGCCTTTCCTGCGGCGTGCTGGATTTGTAGCCAGAAGGTTAGTCTGGGGTTCAGTCTTACGCCTTTTTTATCTAAGAATATCCGTAGTTGTGTGCATGCTTATCTCGCTTGTTAGCAGCAGTAGTTCTGTTTTCTCCGTAGCGAGTTGGAGGCTGTATGAGTCGAGCCATGCTTGCGTCCGTATCATGAGCTGGTTCTGCTTTGCCTTGCTGTGATTACTGCTGCAATGTCGTCCGCGTAGCCTATTAAATATAATCTAGCATTTCTAGTTCTAATATAGCGTCATAGCTAATGTTCCATAAGTCTGGTCCGAGGATGGACCCTTGTGCTGCTCTTGACGTGACTACTATCTGTCGTGATCCCGCTTTAGTTTCGTACAACAGTTTCCTGTTGCTAAGATAGCACCACGGCCCTGAGGTAGTCGGGTAACTTAAAGCTTTTCTCGAGAGCGTCAATCATATCTACCCATCTAGCGCTGTTGAAGACATTTCGAACATCTARAGTCGACAGCAAAACTATTCTTTTGTATTTATGCCATCTACGCTGTGTGGCTTCTACGCTTTCAATGACGCATTTTATTGCTCCTATGGTTGATATGTCGGGTCTAAAGCCATATTGTCTAGGGGGCAGTCCTCCAGCTTCGTTTAAGGCCGCTTCAAGTCTGGGTTCCCTGCTTAAACAGGGGGATTCGTATAGCTTTCCCGCTGTGTCAAGCATAAATTAAATATATAGAAAAACGCGTGGTGCTTTTCGCTCAGTGGTCAGTTTTATTCTGCATATTCTTTTTCAAACTCTCTTCTATTTATACTTATGCTAATACCGACGCGCAGGTCAGTTGTTTTTCATATCTTATGTGTACATATCTACTTCTAACAAAGGAATGGAAATATTAATGATTTTGGGACTATTTGTATTTACATTCTTATTGTTCTTATTTTTACTGATAATGGAAAGTATTTGTACACATGTGTGACTATCTACAACTAGTACTTATAACTATACATAAATATTTATGTTGTCTTGCTGCACTTAAGTTGTAAGCAATGTACTCGTATATGTAAACATGTACGTATAACCAAATACATGTGTCTATAACTATCCTCTCCCTTAAACAGATGCGTCCCGAACTGCTTTAGGTTACCTTCGATAGTTTTCTTCATCAGGTAAAAATGCTCATTTGTAAAAAGGTTACTTGGCTGCGAAGGGTTGGAAAATGTGCTGATTACTGTATCTGATCTTTTACATTTTAGGTACACAATTATGGTTGTTATTAATGTACCTGTTATTGAAATGAGGACA